AACCCGTGTATAAAGGAAGTCAGATGAGGTGTAGGTGTGCTTTTATAATCTCAGCACGTCTACAGTGAAATGGGAGAGAAAGAGGAGAGAATCACACCGGAAACTCATTGGCCAGCTAGCCTGGAGTACAGAGCATAGCAACAAAAACAAGAGAGATCCTGCCTTGACTAGGTGAGAGGTGAGAACTGAATTCTAAAAGTTGTCCTCTGATCTCTACACATGTGTTTCCTCTTCCTTCCTTTACAGAGCTGGGAATGAAGCCTAGAGCTTTGTATGTGCTAAGTAAGCAGTATGCCATGAGCTGGAGCCTCAACTTGAAATTTGCATCATTGTATCTTAATAAGAAAAAATTGGCATAATGAAATATATCTCTAAATATATAGTTCAGGAGCCATTAGTAATGTGACAATATTGGTAATTTTTGTAGGGTTAATTTGCTTAGCACATTTGACTTTTGGAAATATCAGTCTAAAGTAAATCATAAAGAACAATTGCTAAAGATTCATCATGGAAGAGAGAACAGAACCCCAATTGGTAGCAGACTTTCTACCTGACCCCCAAGATCCTTCTAATCCTGTCCTCTGAACTGGTCATCATGCCATTAGCTGTCCACATACCACTCACTTTTTATGATTAAAAGGTTCCCAGACACTCTTTAGTTCAGTGTTCAGGAGAGCCATGCTAGCTTGGTTATTCATCATCAAATATCTTTCTTTCCCACAAAGCCAGTCTATGTATCCTTCCCTGTTGGGGGATATTATTTTAAGGTGTGTTACTTTTGTTTATATTGCATTTGTTTAACTCTGTGCAACTGTGATACTGTGCCTGTCTAAAACACCTGATGGTCTAATAAAGAACTAAATGGCCAATAGCAAGGCAGAAGAAAGGATAGGTGAGGCTGGCAGGCAGAGAGAATATATAGAAGGAGAAATTTTGGAAAAGAAGGAGCCAGAGAAGGAGGAGGACTCCAGGGTCCAGCCACCCAGCTACACAGCAAGCTACAGAGTAAGAAACAAACAAAGATATACAGGAATAGAAAAAGAAAAGCCCAGAGCAAAGATAGATGGAATAATTTAAAGTTAAGAAAAGCTGGCTAGAAACAAGCCAAGCTAAGGCCGAGTGTTTATAAGTAAGAATAAGCCTCCATGTGTGATTTATTTTGGGAGCTGGGTGGTAACTACAAAAAACAACACTTCTCTTTTCTTTTTAAAGGCTTGGACAGAAAGGGAAAAGGTGTCCACTTCTTCAACAGAGGCACACTCATGTTTCCTCCTTAAACAGGAATTTACAGCAAATGCCTTAGGACAACATGCTAGACCAATGTCCCCAATGGTCCCCTTTAATGAAAGACACTGACATCATGCTGTCCCCGAGAGCAAGGTGGTACCCTTTTATTCCTACTGTCTTTGTATAAGTTAGATAAAGCCTACTGAAGAATGGATGCTGTTACAGAATCCCCACCACCCTGTTACTTTCCCTCCACATGAGGCATGCATGCCGACTACTATGGCTGAACATTTTTGTTTCAGTTTCCTGCACTTTACTTTTCTTGACACATATCCACTGCATTTTAGGAACTTCTCACTCTCCATCATTTGTTTTTAAAATTATGATTTTTTTTAATTAATTCTTTGAGAATAGCATACATGCATGCAATGTGTTTTGATGATATTTACCCAGCTCTTCCCCTTCACTCCTAGCCCCGGCCCCCACTCCCTCCATGTTCTTGACATTGGCTAGAGCAGGGGTCAAAGAGCAGGGGTGGGACAGTGACTGCTAGTGTCTGCATTATCTCATTAAGTGCTGATTCCCCAGGAAGGCAAACCGCCTGTCTCAAAATTTGCTTTGCAAGGAATATAATCAGGAAGTCTTCTGAAAAGGCTGGACAGAAGGTGTGCTTAATCTCTTGTAACGTTGGTTCACCCCAGTTTCAGACCAAGAGTGATGATACTTGGAAAAAAAAATTGGGAATCTGCCTGCGGGCAACATTCACCCCTGATGGAGAGATTGCTACAGAAACCTAACCCTTGGAAGTTCTCAACATCCAAGTAAGGATTTATTAAAGGAATTAATATCTTTGAAGGCTCAGAAAGCAATCCTGGTTCCCTATAAGATGGATGAAAGGCAGAGATTTCAAAACATTTGCTAGAAAACATCAATAGCCAATCCTGCTGATTTAATTTTTTCAATCCCTCAGGCATCAAAAGAAGTTGTGACTTGTCCACATTTACCTTGGAAGCAAAGCAATATTGTAAATTAGAAATGACCAGGGCTTCGCTGGCTGCATTTCCTTTTTTAATTAGTTGAAGTTTCAGGAAACTTTGGAGCATTTCTTCCGAAGAAGCTGAAGAGCTTGCCCCTTGTGTTGGTTGTGAGTGCAGGCGTGTCTGGTGATACTCCTTACAAATGACAAAGCTTTGGGGTCCAGTCGTCCATCACAAGCACTACAAGAGATGGCATTCAGCCACCCCCATTTCTCTTCCAGTTTGTTCTTGAGTAAGCAGACATCTTATCCTTTTGTTGGGAACTCACCAAACATTTACTTGTCAAAGACTGATCCTAAAAATAAAAAGTTTCTGACAACAGGAAACACCCAAATCGCAAAGGTGCTTAAACAATGACTGATTTTGCTTCTTGTGGTGAACCCATGGGAGGCAACACCAGGGTTGTCCAGGACTTTGCAATTAAGGCTTCCTCTGAGGAGAAATCTGAAACAGAGGTCATGTAATGTATTAGGCTAATATTTCATTCATCCAACATACGAGCCATGTGGTGGTGTGAGCTTGTCTCTGCTTGCTACTCAGGGTCATTTGAGGCCGAGAGTGCAAGGCCAGCTTGGACAGCCTAGTAAGGTTCCTAGCTCAAAACACAAATCAATGAAAACTCCAAAGAACAAAAAATATTTTATTGAATACATTAAAAAAAAAAAAAAACTCAATGTCTCTGGCTGGCAACAAACTCCTGATCTTCCTGCATCAGCCTCCTGATTGCTGGGACCTCAGGCCACACTGCCATGCCTGGAGCCGACTACTGTGTGCCTAGCACCGCCATGCCTGCAGCCAACTACTGTGTGCCCAGCACCGCCATGCCTGCAGCCGACTACTGTGTGCCCAGCACCGCCATGCCTGCAGCCGACTGCTGTGTGCCCAGCACCGCCATGCCTGCAGTCGACTGCTGTGTGCCCAGCACCGCCATGCCTGCAGCCGACTGCTGTGTGCCCAGCACCGCCATGCCTGCAGCTGTTGTATCTAGCAGTATTTCAAGCCCCCAGTATTTTTAGGATAAAGTGATGAAGAAATCAAGTCCCTCAATGTCAGGAAACTTACATTCATTCATAGAAATATTTAGCCCTGAACAATATTCTGTAAGTAGATAGCTCAGGAAGCACCCGAACTCTACTCAAGTAAGAACATATCTTCTAAAAATATGACTATCTTAGTATGATGGCTAATCTTTTTTTTTTTTTTTTTTTTTTTTTTTTTTTTTTTTTTTGGTTTTTCGAGACAGGGTTTCTCTGTGTAGCTTTGCGCCTCTCCTGGAACTCACTTGGTAGCCCAGACTGGCCTCGAACTCACAGAGATCCGCCTGGCTCTGCCTCCCGAGTGCTGGGATTAAAGGCGTGCGCCACCACCGCCTGGCCTTGATGGCTAATCTTGATCATCAACTTGACGGCATCTGGAATCAACGGAGACAGAAACCTTTGGGCACTCCTGTGAGAGATTTTCTTGATCAGATCACTTGAAGCAGAGGAACCCTGACTGTGTTCAGTCAAAGGGGCCTGGAAGAAGGAAGCTTTGCTCTTTGCCTGTTTGCCCTCACTCTCGCTGGCAAGTTCATTTGCTCTGTGGCTGTGGCATTTCTCTGCTGATATCAGAAGTGACGTCTTGTGTAGACTGAAGACCAGCTCTCCAGGAATCCTCCATTTTTAGCACCAGACCAAAACTGCTGAGGCAGCCAGTCTTGTGGACTGAGAACTACTAGATTCTCAGCCTCTTCTGTGAGCTAGAGCTGGACCAGAGCAGGGAGTCAATCTAATAAATCACACACACACACACACACACACACACACACACACACACACACACACAAAGTTTTTTTTTTTTTTGGTTTTTCGAGACAGGGTTTCTCTGTGTAGCTTTGCACCTTTCCTGGAACTCGCTTTGGAGACCAGGCTGGCCTCGAACTCACAAAGATCCGCCTGCCTCTGCCTCCCGAGTGCTGGGATTAAAGGCGTGCGCCACCACCGCCCGGCCCACAAAGTTTTAAAAAGAAGGGATACAAAGTATTCTAGCCTTAAATTTCTATACTGTGCCTTTACAGCAGAGATTATATTTAATTATGAAAACATTATTTCATAAAGTTAGGTCATTAGATTTTTAGCTTAAAAAAGAGGCTTACTTATCTTTATTTTATGTGTATAACTGTTTGTATGTATGTACATGCACCATTGTATACAGTATCCGAGGAGGCCAGAAGAGGGTATTGGATGCCCTGGAGTTGGGAGTCACAGGTGGTTGTGAGCCGCCCCATGTGGGTTTTGGGAACCAAACTCAGGTCCTCTGCGACGGCAGTAAGTGTTCTCAACTGCTCAACTCCAGCCCAAGATTTTTAGCTTCGGTTAGTAAAATTAATCTGTAGATCCTTGTAAAAGAAATACAAAAAGTAATTTTTGTGTTATTCTTTTAATTGCAGATGATTTTTCGGCTAGAAACGGTCACTTTTCTTGTTGGATATTAACTTCTGAGCTGGGTGGTGGTGGTGCACATCTTTAGTCCCAGTACTCGGGAGGCAGAGGCAGGTGGGTCTCCCCAGTGAGTTGATCCATCCCCCCAACCCCCCCCATCCCCGCCAGCTGAGTAGGCTGCGTTCTCTCGGAACACGCCACAGATCCAGGTTCTGGTGACCCTAGCAACGTTCGCTCCGCAGGCCCCTCGCCCACCTGCCACGGCGCCCAGCCGACCCACTCTCTCTTGTGCCAGGAACATGTTGCCATCGGCACTATGCCCTATCAGTACCCAGCACTGACCCCGGAGCAGAAAAAGGAGCTGTCTGACGTCGCTCACCGAATTGTGGCTCCGGGCAAGGGCATCTTGGCTGCAGATGAGTCCACTGGAAGCATCGCCAAGCGGCTGGAGTCCATCGGCGCCGAGAACACGGAGGAGAACCGTCGCTTCTACCGCCAGCTGCTGCTGACCGCCGACGACCGTGTGAACCCCTGCATTGGGGGCGTGATCCTCTTCCACGAGACACTGTACCAGAAGGCGGATGATGGACGTTCCTTCCCTCAAGTTATCAAGTCCAAGGGTGGTGTTGTGGGCATTAAAGTAGACAAGGGCGTGGTGCCCCTGGCAGGAACCAATGGCGAGACCACCACCCAGGGGCTGGATGACCTGTCTGAACGCTGTGCCCAGTACAAGAAGGATGGAGCCGACTTTGCCAAGTGGCGCTGTGTGCTGAAGATTGGGGAACACACCCCTTCAGCCCTTGCCATCATGGAAAATGCCAATGTTCTGGCCCGTTACGCCACCATCTGCCAGCAGAATGGCATTGTACCCATTGTGGAGCCCGAAATCCTCCCTGATGGGAACCATGACTTGAAGCGCTGTCAGTATGTAACCGAGAAGGTACTGGCTGCTGTCTACAAGGCTCTGAGCGACCACCATATCTACCTGGAAGGCACCTTGCTGAAGCCCAACATGGTCACCCCAGGCCATGCTTGCACCCAGAAATTTTCCAATGAGGAGATTGCCATGGCAACTGTCACAGCACTTCGTCGCACAGTGCCCCCTGCTGTCCCTGGGGTCACTTTCCTGTCTGGAGGGCAGAGTGAGGAAGAGGCGTCCATCAACCTCAATGCTATCAACAAGTGTCCCCTGCTGAAGCCATGGGCCTTGACTTTCTCCTATGGCCGAGCCCTGCAGGCCTCTGCTCTGAAGGCCTGGGGTGGGAAGAAGGAGAACATGAAGGCTGCCCAGGAGGAATTCATTAAGCGTGCCCTGGCCAACAGCCTCGCTTGCCAAGGAAAGTACACTCCAAGTGGTCAGTCAGGGGAGGCGGCCAGCGCATCCCTCTTCATCTCTAACCACGCCTACTGAGCAGGGGCAGCTAAGGCTGCCCCTCCAACACCCCAGGCCCCTGCCTACCCGTTTGCTCTTGAGGAGGAGGCCTCGGGCTCTCTCCCCGTCGATCCCTCTTGGGGCCCCTCACGATTTTGGTGTGCGGTATTGTCTGTGAATGCTGACTCCGCCATCCCTTCTAGCCCACTACTAATCAACTGTATAAGGGGGAGAAAGAGCCACCTCTGCCCCTTTCTCTCGGAGACTCGTTGGGGGTTGGGGGGGACAATCAAATCTTGTTCAGAGTCTGTCTCTCATACCACTTAAAGCTTTCCCGCTGCTGCAGCCCGGTGTGTTTTTAAAGTCTGCGTCAAACAGGTGTTTCTTAGCTCCCTTCCTTGTGTCTAGGCCTACTGTAAACTTGGAAAATTGAGCTGTTCTGTCAGTCATCACCTGCCAAGCCTCGAGTCTACATATCAGCAAATGCGCTTCGGTTTAACTATCTTTTCACCGTCATAAGAGAAATAAACATACAAAATAAACGCATCTCAATGCATAGCTGCGCAGGAGTACAGATGTTTTATTAATGAAAATGAATCCAGCTTTTGGTAAGTCATGGCAGCAATATAACATTTCATTGTTTGGTTCTGTGCTAGACAGTCCCTGCTGTTTCCACAAATTCCTGTAATGCTTAATGGACATCTGGAAGAATTCAGCCAATTAATCGAATTCACATAGGAGCTAGGCTAATGGCTGTCTGAAAGGCAGATTACATTAAATCAAACTTGCAATATGAATGAAAGCACTTAATCATACATGCAACATTCATTAGATGGGACACAGCACGTGTTTTGATTGCTTTAATGAAAGATCAGGTAAAGTGCATCAGCTGAGCAGATTGAAAAGGCAGCATGCTTACAAATGTTTGATTATGCCGAATATCAACAGAAACGGTGCCAGTAATTTATAGCAAAACATATTTGTAGGTGTCTAGAGCTGCTGAACGCAGGGAAATGTGGAGCCCGGGCACACAGCAGTGATTAATATGTGATAAAACTTTAGTAGGTGTCAGGAAAAGACAGGGTTCAGTCATTTATAGACACAGGCACACCTTGATGCTGTGGGTGACTTGAAATCTCTGTGAACCCCAATCTCATTAAGGTTCATTGGTGAAAAGGTAACACCAGAGTAGGAACCCCTGACTTAAAAGAGGACTCACCCCTGAAGAGGGAGGCTTCAAAAGCTTCTGGCAGGAGCCCAAATCCTAATGTTCCTAGTTATGCCTGGCCTCTAGAGCCGTGAATATTTTCTACCTTCCCTATAGTTTCTCAGTAACTCCCTCCTAACATTCTAGAAAACTTACAAAGTATGTTTCCTACATAATGTTATTGGCTTTACAAATTTTTAGAATACGATAAAATGCCACTTGCAGATTTTTTTGTAGAAAATAAGGATAAAGAATATATAATATTTTAAAATTACATTTACTATATATGTGGTTTTTAGAACAGGGTCTTCCTATATAGCTCAGGGTGGCCCTGAATTCAAGGTCTTCTCCCCTTTGTCTTCCAAGTGCTAGGATGATGGGTGTGTACCAGTATGCCTAGCTAATGCATTTGGAATTAATCTTGTAATTAATAAAACTATAAAACAATGAAAATTGTATTTGATACAACTATGTATGACTTTCTTCTATGGTGAATTTTAGTATTGGACAGGACTGCCTTTAGAGGTGGTGGGAACCACTCTTTCCCTGGGAGCTGAGGAAGAGCTGACTTTCACTGCTTTAGATGGGTACTAAGGAATTCTGAAAACAGAAAGGGAATAGCACCTGACGGGTCCTACTTAGACATGGTCCCAATGCAAGCTGGCCCGCAGTGGAGCAGGGATTCCATGGCTTTGATAGCAGGGGAGACGCCAAGACAGAAAGGTTGGAGTTGTAGCCACAGGCGTTTCTAATGTCCTATCCAGCAAAACATGGCAGAGGAGAACTGAAAACATCAATTACAAACAAGAGAACAGCTCAGTCCAGAACAACCACAAGCAGCGGGAAGTGGAGATTTATGAATTTTTAAAAGAAAAGCAGGGAAGGACTGGGACATGGGAAAATTGATATTTGAGACGCTTAGTTCACTCATTAGGAAATATGACAAGATAACAAAAAAGCCACTGTTCTGGAATGAAGCCTCCTTTGGCCCATCTGGGCTGCTGAAACAAAGTTACCAGGAACCAGGTAGCCTATGAAGAACAGCCAGCCACTTCTCTCAGTTCTAGAAGAGGAGTCCGGGGTCAAAGCTGCTGCAGGTCGTGTGTCTCGTGGGGGTCTGCATTCTGGTTCCAGGACTGTGCTTCCCTTCCATGTCTTTGCTTGAGAAGGATAGAAGTTTCTCTGGGGTTTGCCCTCATGACCTCACCACCTGCCAAAGGTCTTCTTCTCAAAGCCACCCACTTAGGGTTCCCTGTCAGTGTATGAATTTTGGAGTCACGTGCATTAAGACCGTAGAAAAGTGTGCAGAAACTCATGTGATTGCTGTTTTGTTCTTCTGCATTATATATGCGTTTACAGAAAGGGGAAGGAAAGCCATCTGGATCTGAAATAGCTGTTATTTATATAATCTATCCACTTAATGGTTCTTCTTCTATTCTCTGTCTCTCTCTCTCTTCTTTGAGACAGAGATTCATGTTCCCAGGTTGGGCTCAGCCTCAGTATAAAACCAAAATGTAACCAAAAATGACTCTGAGCTTCTGATTCTCCTGTCTCCACCTCCCGAATGCTGGGATTATAGCCATGCACCACCACGCCTGGTTTATCCAGTACTGGGGATTAAACCTAAGGCTTTGTACATGCTATTAATTAATCTACATTCCCAGACCTTATTTGAAGTAAAGGCTCATGTATCTCAGGCTGGCCTTGAACTTGCTTTAAATCCTTGATCCTCCTGCCTCAGCCTCTGATCACTGGAATTATAGGTATGCACCACCATATCCAGTATATCTCTGACCCTTTGACTTCTAGGGGCTGAGAGAACTACATGGCAGCTTCATGTAATGCTGTTTGCTTAAGCCTTCAAAAAACATTTAGTTAAGTTACTTAAAAGCGTCTATGTTGTCAATCATTTCACCAATGTATAGTGGGGAAAAAACAGTATTATCCTAAATCATTATCCTTGTCACAATTATTTGTGCAGTTTCTCATTGTGAAATATAGTAGTGTATTATAATCTTAGAATTTCAAGTTATTAATGCTTTTGTTTGAAAATAAAATAATTATTTTAATTCACTCAGGTGGGTCAAGAGAAACTAAAAGCCTTTATTTTTCTCCTTGGGCAAGTCATCCATCTCTTGGGCTAAATGACAGGCAACTGACAAACTTAATCTTTTTAGAGCCTTGATCTTGACAGCACTCACTCTGGAGACCCCTCCGAGGATACGACTCTGATGATAATCCCTGGCACCTCCTGGTCTAATGATAATCCCTAGCTCCTTCTGGTCTACCCGTCTAGGCAGGAATCAAGCGCAGGAGTAGAACACAGCTGTTTATAAGATCCAGGCTTTGCTCATTTCTCTACTCTTTTGACCACTTTGTTGAACTTGGCTGGTGATCAAAGGACTTGAACTGTCTTCCTCCTTTCCCAGACAGCAGCCCCGTGAAAAGTGGAAGTAATTCTATCCAGATTCAGTAGTTTTATTTAGGGCTTCGGTTTTTATCATTTTATTTATTTTTCTTGAAGAAAAAAATCTGTTTGTGTGCATGATCTGAGCGTGGGCATGCATGTGCCATAGTGTAAATGCAGAGGTTAGAGGACAACTTTGGACATCAGTCTTTATCTTCCCACCATGAGACAGGGTCTCTGCTCTGCTTCACATACGAGCTCTCTGGCATTTCAGATGCATACTCCCACACCCAGCTTCATGGGAGTCCTGGGGATCGGAGCTCAGGTGACCACGACCGCAGGGGAAGAGTTTACTCACTAAGCCATCTCCCAAGCTCCTTCGTTTGTTTTTTTAGAGATGGAACGTTGTTATGCAGCCCAGGCTGGGTTTGAGGCTTGTGGTGATCCTCTTGCCTCTGCCTCCTGCATATGGATTTTTTTTTTTTTGTATGCATGCTTTACTGTACCTTTATTGTTCTTCCGCCAAAGATTTTTTTCACACTCCAGATTGAACTCAGAGTGAGTAGGACAAAGCTGTCATGTCCATCTGATCCCGACTCCTTGGGTTCAGTCCCCCAGGCTTTCCTTACAGCTGCAGGGAGCCGTGTTTTATGTTGATTTTGGTCGCCTTCACTTCCCCGGCACAGAACGTTTTAAATGGTGATTGATGACAAAGCCTTTTGTTGAACTGCCCCGCTGAGTCAGACAAGGGCTAACACACCTCCACAGCTTCCCTGAGTAGAAGCAGACTCAGAGGTTAAGCAAGTCCCTCGAGGTAACAGAGCAAGTTTCTCAGCCAGGATGAGAATTCACCTGCGTGTGGCTTCCAGGCAGCTCCAGTAAACTCATTCACTCTGCACTGGCTTTCCTGGCACGGCTTGTGTCTCCCTCCCTCTGCCACTGATGTCCTTTTTGTACAGATTCTTCTCAATATAGCATCTGAACTATCCTAAGTCTCTGAGGTTTGAGACAGGGACAGGCTCTTGCTATGTGGCCCAAACTAGCCTTGATCTCGGTAATCCTCCTGCCTCAGCCTTTTAAATGCTGGGATTATTGCCACAAACTACCACATCCAACTAATCCGTAGGTTGTATAGTATAATCTTTTATAAACAATCGCAGAGGGAAGAGTTCAGGCAGATTTTTACATGAATATCCATCAAAATGACTCAGCTCAGCTTCCAAGGCTCTGCCAAATGGTTCTCAACAAGGGGATTACTTGGAGTTTGGAGATAACCCACATGAACACCACTAGACTGTTTGGGCCAGAGATTTCTGCAGTGCACGATCTGCAGAAGCCTACGATTTCGTTTTATTGAATTGCTCGGAATCTTCTCTGGAATACTTACTATGAGTAAAACATTGGGCTGGGCACTTTGTGGACAGG